CCAGGCGAGGAGGTGGCATGGGCATGGGCGCGAAGGCCGGTGCGGGGAGGGAGTGGAGGCCGACGCGAGGAGGGAGTGGAGGCTGGTGCGGTGAGGGACAGAGGAGTGTCATGCACAGAGAAGATGACCTTTAGCGTCCGTGACTCCGTGTGGAGAATAATATCGTGTCGTGGGGAGACAGGGATAAGTTAGAGAGAGAATAGAAGAAAAGGAAAAGAAAAAAGGTAAAAAGAAAAAAAGGAAAGAATAAAAAATAAAATAAGTGCCATTATCTATTAGACCACTAATTATGGTAGACCACTAATTATCTATTAGTCTTAATTTTTATGTTTATTCTTGGTTCATTAGAAACGTTATACAAATTGAGATCAAAGATATAAGTCATGTGTGCAACTAAAGTCAACTAAGAAGGGTAGTTTAGACATTTCATATCTTTCATCTAATCTAGAAAATCTGGAGAAGCTGTTTTGCCAAACGGTTTTTAAAAGGACCTCTACTCATTCGAAAAAGTTGCTCCTTCAGAGGAGACGAAGTCGGAGTTGTTTTTGGAGGAGAGGAGTCGGAGCCATACCAAACGTGCCCTAAAATTTAATAGGAAAAATTGGTTGTGTAGCATCGAAATATCGCGATCTCCGTAAAATACACTGAAAGTTTGCGCCCCCATAAAATACCACTGAAAGGTTGGACTATGAACTGAAAGTACCATTCCATTAAAATGAAGTCGTGGAGCTGTTAACTTGGACACAGATACCCCCCAGTGAGAACCAAATAAATAGCAGTATGTGCCCCAACATTTAAACATAAATGAACACATATATTTCAGTAGCAATATAAGCACATTCCCGCACATACATTTTGGCACATATGAAGACATTTAATATAGGGATCCCTTTAATATAAGAACACATGAACACGTACATTCACAACAGCCACTTCTCAACAACCATTTCTCAGCAGAGTACTAGTTAAGACAACAAGTAGTTCAACACATGCATCCATAGTCTAACTAGATCATAACAGTAGTACAACACATAACATTTGCACTAACAAAGCCATTGCTTAGCCTACGATAAGCCTTCTAGCAATTCCTCCTGAGGATATGTCTACTGCTGCCCTGCTCCTTGTTGTAGGTCATGGACTGAGAGTACTAGTGAAAGCTGTCATCCTTCTTGTTGCTGGCCCTAGACTAACAGGTGGTTGTGTGACTAAGGAAGTAGAAGGTGCAGATACTTTCTTGGATTTTTTGGAGCTTTTTGCAGCTAGATGTAATGCCCTTTTCTTTCCTTTTCCTACACATCAGGAAGGTATCAGCCATATTTAATAAAAGATCATGTTACAGCAAAAGTACAGGGGATCAACTTACCTTGAATTAGTAGGAGCTGTCGGTGGCAATTCAACAGCGGGTTTAGTAGGCGGCTCACTACAACCCTTCTCAATATGCCCAAACTGGAAGCATCTTTTGCATTGGTAAGGACCACTTTTTGCTGGCTCACCCTTACTTTTGATCCTCTTCACTCTTGGCCTACCTGCAAACCTTTCAAGCTTCAGAGGCACCATTATAAACCTGGGATCAACAATAGGCCACTGTAACTTGTCAACCATTGGGTTGACCTCAAACTGATAAGTAGCCTTGAAACGTTGAACTGAGTAGTAATCATGAACATGTCTAATTTGTCTAAGGGAACCTATAAATACTATAACATGAGTGCAAGGTTTCCTAGAAATATTCCACTGACCACATGAACATGTCTTGCTTTCAAGGTCCACAGCATGCCTCCAAGGATAGTTGTCTTTAGTCAATCCAGATATCTCAGCCTTGAGACCACCACTCCCCTTAATTGTGTACTTCAAGTTTCTACTCTTCATCTTCAGCTCATTTATAACACTAGGGAGAATTGACCCTTCAAGTTTGTTAGCTATAAGCTGTCTCATAGCTATCTTTTCCATGATCATACCCCTAATTGTGTCCACGAGGACATCCACTGGGAACCCTTTGGTCTCTTTAATCCAATTGTTGAAGGACTCTGATATGTTGTTGTTCGCATAATCAACCTTGCACTCCCCTGAGAACTTAACTCGAGACCAAAGATGTTTGTGCTCTGCTTGCAAGTAAGGAATTTCTGCTGGACAGTTCTCTCCAATTTTGTCCCAAAGCCATTGATACCTCCTAGTACTACATGCCCAAGTACAAGGACACATGTACTTTAGCACATCTCCATCGAAGTGCTTTCTAAAATTATGCATGAGGTGCCTAAAACACTCCCATGCTCAATGTCACCTTGGAAGACATTATGGACTGTTTTCTCTAAGCCTTTGCAAGCATCTGTGTGTATTTGTGAGTCCATGTAGAGTTCCAACTGCTCTCTTCAATTGCTTCAGAAACCATGTCCAATTAGCTTTTGTCTCCTTGTAAAAAATTCCATATGCCACCGGGTACATCCAATTATGTCCATCAATTGTTGTTGCTGCAGCTAGCTGTCCATTATATTTACCTGTGAAGTGAGTAGAATCAACACCAAGGTATGGCCTGCAACCAGCAAGAAATCCATTCACACATGCTTTGATGGCCATAAACATCCTACAGAAATAGACTCGACCATCCTTTTTGTTCTTCTTGCAATCAATCTCAACTATGCTTTCAGGACTAGCTTCTAACTCAGCTTTGAAACTCCATAACATTCTAAAACTTTCATCCCAAGTGCCATGTAGGCCTTTTAGTGCAAGTTGCCTTCCTTCCCACACCTTATTATATGACATTTTGATCGGGAACTGTCTTTCAAGCTTAACTTGCAACTTCTTTGTTCCCAACTCTGGAGTACACTTGAGTACCTCTGTTGCTCTATTCGCTATCCACGCTTTGCTAGCCTCCTTACCCCTCACTTGGCTGGTGCTAGCACAAGTATGGCTAGAACCTATTGACACAACCTGAAAAAAATAGATGATATGGGATCTGAATTTAGTGTTTAAATATGGGATCTGAATTATTGATAGAACATGAACAAAAATAATTGCATAGTCTGAAATTATTGAAAGAACATGGAAAAACAATTACATAATTTGAAATTATTGATAGAACTTGAAAAAATAGAATTGCATAGTATGAAATTATTGACAGAACATGGAAAAACAATTGTATAATATGAAATTAGTATACCATGAAAGTGGGGCAACCACAAAGTTTCTTTGCATGAACTTTCCATCCACACTCTGAATCTGCGCATTGTGCCCTATATCTTGATTTATCACTATGCTCTATAAATGTTTGAAACTCTTTTTTTATGGCATATTGCTTGATCATTAGTATAAAGGCCTTTTTATCAATAAATGTTGAACCTTCCTTTATATCAGGGTTGTCTCTGTCATATGTAGTGAGTGGAACATACGGAGCATCCCGCAACATGGTGGCTTCATCACTTGACACAACCTCAGGATCTATGTCTTCAATTACAAATTTGATGTTATCCATTTTCTTCTTTTCTTGCTGCACTTTCTCATTACTTCCTACTTCATGTACTTTATTAAAATACCTCCACTTTTCATCAGCTCCAACTGGATCATCTCCCTCATGGTCAACACCGGGCTCCATATAATGGTCACCCTCCTCCTCTACTCTGGAAGGACCAGCAGCTGTAACACCAAGTTGCGGTTGCAAGGCCCATTATAGACCATCCAATTCTACACTCGCATGCATCCCCTGAAACATTTCTGCGACCTGAAGCTGTAGGTCATTCTCTTCATTTGGCACTTGTCTTTCATTCTCCATTTCAGTCACATTACAAGCCATATCAACATGCTCACATCTATCAACAGTCATGATAAACTCCACCAATTTTAAAGCTCGCAGCAAAGTTAGAAGCTCTTGGTTAGTACCAAGGCGAACTGTTAGATTATTCTAACCCACAAACCAGAAGTTTGCTTCCCGATAGCTAGCCCAACTGAAGTGCTTGAAAACATCTTTCTCCATGTCAATGATGGAGTACTCTTCTGCATCCACCCACCAATCCAAGCGTCTGCTCTTTTTGTATACAGATCGATCATCATCACCAGTTGAGTAGGACGAAACATCAATCACTACTCTACATGCATTGGTCGGATCGATCCTGAAAATAGTAGCAGTGCAAACAAATTAGCACTGCTTCCAAAAGTCATTTCTCATCACTGACCATCCTCATACCAGATTGCACACACAAATGAACCAGATATCACAAACAATCGCATGCCGCAACTAATTTCAGTTGTGCTACGAGATGCATGAGATAGCTAAGGTTTCGTTCTTACCCATCGGGAATCTCAGATTCATGCATTGCGTAGTCGAGTGTGGAGGGGCATCTGGCGGCCAGCTGAGGTGGTGAGCAGGGATGCCGGCGGCCTAGCGAAGGCGCTGCGCCGTGCAAGGGATGTCGGCGACCTGGAGGAGGCGCCGCGTAGGGGCACCCGGTGGCCTGGCGGAGGCGCCACGTAGGGACTCCCAATGGCCTGGCTGAGGCGCCGCACATGCAGCGCGGTGGCCGACGGAGGCGGTGCCTAGACCCGCGCAGTGGCCGGCAGAGGCAATGCCCTGACCCGTGTGCTGGAACCCACGGCGGCAGCAGAAGGGGTGAGCAAGCACGCCCAGCTGAGAACCGAGCGGCTCGAGTGTCTTCCTGTCTCATATGGGTGAGATAGGATAAGGTAAGGGCAAATATGTAATTTTGTGTCTAGATTTTAGCTTAGGTTAACATTTCCGTATACAAAATTTGATAGAATAGTATTTTTAGATTACGGTGGATTCTTTCGGTGCTATTTCGTATAGGCGTAAATTTTTTAAGGAAATCGCGTTCTTCCGATCCTACACAATCAATTTTTACAATTTAATAATGGATCGGAGAATAAACACAACCATAGCTTTGTTAACGGGCCGCCGCCGGCTCCCTCATTACCCCCTCCTTCGGCGGTGCGGCACCCATACCAGTCCGGAGATCGCCCCCCTCCCCCCTCCCCCCTCGCTGCCTCAAGAAGTCATGCTAAATCAGCTTAGATCGGCGGCGGCGAGCCCTCCCGGCCGCTTGCCGGCGCTGGCGGCAGATACCGTCGCCGAAGACGATGTGGAGGGCGTGAGGGCCATCGCGGTGTCCGACCAGAGGACCATCTACCTGGTCCGTCTCTCCTTCCCCGTTACTCTCCAGCCTCCCTCCACATGTGACGGTTGCTAGCCCTAAGCGAAGCTGTTTGTCCTTTTGGCCGTGTCTGATTGCTCTGCGTGTCTTGCCTGCGCCGCAGGTGAACATGTTCATAGCAAACACGGTGGAGTTCCTCAATTCGTTCGCCGCGCTATGCGACGACAAGCTCGCGCTACTCCACAGGTAAAGAAGTTTGATTTGTCTGTGGGTTGTTGGTCAACAGCTACTCGTCCTCGTGGATCTTCTATGGATTTTATTTTCTTTCTTGATGAGAACTTAAGATGTTGAGGAATTGACGTCAGTTGTCCCTAGTTGAATTGAATGTAATTTGTTTCTTGGGTTCATTAGTGGAATTACTGATTTTTGTTAGGAAGAAATTTTGGATAATGGTTCTGTTATCTGTTTGGGGAATGTCTCTGGTGATGAATTCCTGTTTGACGTTAGAGAACTCATGTTGAAATTGTTAGTTTTTTTTCCCCTAAGAAGGTAGTTTTAATACTCAATCTTTTTGTTCAAGAGCTTACATCACTTGATCAGAGTAACAGATTAGTGACTGATAAGTTCTTGTTGGCATTTGGTAATTTCACGGGGATTTGATGGTGCTATATCTGCTATAGTATGAAGTTAAATGCTCTTTTTTCTGTTCTCCCTGGACTTTTTTTTGTAGTAAAGAATACAAAATAAGGTTCTTTGTGGGTGAGGAGTTTATTTGCACTGTGGCGACTGTTTAGGATTCGAAGTTTCTGATGTATATTTTTGGTACCTCTAAATTTGGAATTGTAAGTAGCATCAGCTTTGTGTCTCATGACTAGACTTTCCTGCCACACTGAAAATATGCAATGTTCTGTCTAAGTTCTTCTTACTTGATTATTACTAAAATATGTTAGCCACTATACATATCCTAAATCCTAATGGTTTCGCATGCCTATCCTGATAAAATTAATGGTTTCGCATGCCTATCCTGATAAAAGATATATGAATTGGCCTTTTTCCAGGAATATAGTGAAACTGGACCTGTCACTTGCCCTTCTTGAAGCAAAACTGCACAGTATTGATGAAAATAATAATGCCCTGGGACACTCAACAAGCCAAAAGGACAGCGATCTTCAGTAGATGACAAAATATTTAATTCAACAAATATGGTGGGTGAATCCTCTAGGTTAGTCTGTCTCCTCATTGCTATTTTACTATGTGCATTCATATATTTACATAAGCTAACTTACGTTCTTTTTACATATATAAGCTGGCATAAGTTGTACTACATAGTAATTAATTAAACTAGAGCAAAGTTCTAAGTAAAGTCTTGTCTTCTATTATTTTTGTTCATCCTTTTCTTAGATGCTGTTTGCATCATTGTTTTGTTTGTGTTTATTCCATTATAAGCTGGCATGTTTGGCTTCCTCTAGTTAGCCCTATCATAGTCAAATGCATGCAGTTCAAATCATATGTTTCTTTGTTAACACATCGATTTGTGAAATGGCAATTTATATATGTTCCTTCTTATTATCCCACGTTGAGCCCCAGTAAACTAGCCCTGTTTTGCGCATAGGTCACTGCATTGCAAGACTATAACACATCAAGCTATTGCCCTAAGCTTTTGCTATTCTCTTGAGTTAGGCTTTTCCCTAAGCTTTTGCTATCGCCACGGAAGCGCCACCTATCACAGTGGAGGCGCCGCGTGCCTACCCTCCTAGGACTCGCGGGACCCCTTCGCCTAGCGGCGCGCCTAGTGTTGTGGACTCTTTCGTAGGCCGGCAGTACTGGCGCAGGGCCAGGCGTGCCACGGCCAGCAGTGGCTAAGACGCCTTTAGTTGTTTAGAAAGTCAATAACTCAGGAGGATTTTTAGGATCTCAGCTTTGGTTTGTTAGGAAAGCATCTGAACTATAAAGGTGACTCTTAAGGAATGTAATCAGATATCGAAGAAGAATAGAATCCTCCCAAGCGGGTGGGGTTCCTCTTCGACGGTGGCTGCGCACGGTTCAGCCGCTGCCGCCGGCGACTCCCCCACCGCGCCATTGCCTCGCTATCCTCTCCGTTCCAATTCTCAATCACAGCTGCTCCTCCGTTCTCCTCTGCGATCCCCTAGACGTCCACGCCGTATCACTAGGCAGCCGTGGAACATCGACTTATCGAACACTGCAGCCTACTAATGAGCTAGTGTGTTACATAATCTTTTACCCAAGACGGTTGGAGGGTATCAAAGGGGGTTTTGAGAGGATCAAAGGGGATCAAGGGATTTTGATTTGTAGAAGATTTAATCCCTTTCAATCCCCTCCATTCTCCACCAGACCGAACAAAGCCTGATTCATTTCATGGTGGCCCGAAAACGGCACCTGTGATTGTTCAAAAATGTTACAATCAGCCGCTCACATTTTGTTTTACACTGCTGACAGCTAGGCAGCTATCCACTACCCTTTTGTCTTTCTTTGGCAACCTGCATCTCCAAATCATAGCTTCATTTTTTTTGCAAGAGCAAGGAATTGCCTAAGGGAAGTAGCCTTGTTCTTAATGCAACTCATTTTCTTCTTTTTCTATAACTACTAGTAGCACAGCACGACAAAGGCGTTGAAATGTTCCCGTGGCACATGTGGGGGCAGGCTGACATTGTGTAGTTCATGGGCCGCGATATTTGAGTCCATATCAATCATTAGGCTTGACCCACTAATGGCCTGTGATGCAGTTTCCTCTGCACATCCGCAGATGCTCTGTCCACAACCTTCTTGTATAAAACAACTTTGCACTGAATTCTTGCTTGCATCGGGAGCCAGAGAAAGCACTCTTTGGTGGCGTTGCGTTTCTCCATAAAAAGTGGCAGCTTGGGTAGGGCAGCCCGCCTGGGACTGCAGCAGCCTGTATAGCATTGTGGTGTCGAGTTTCCTGTGCATGGTGCTGAACAGGCTCAATCTGTAGTCAGCTTCATTGGTCAGCGAGACATCTGTGATGATCTCAGCACTTCATACAGTTCCATTTAGGCCTGAGGCGATAGACGCGGGAGGAGTCAAATCCCCAAGGCCACTACCTGACTGACGGTGCTCCCATGCTGAGTACAATGAATCGGTCAGCCAATGCATCATTGCTGATCCAAACGTTGAGCTTATCCCGCCCGTCATCGACGTGCACCATAGTGATGGCTTGATAAAGCGGGAATAAGGATAGCAGGACCTCCAGGGTCGCCAGGCAAAGCGTGTCGTCGACTCCAGATTGCCCATGCCGAGCTTTCCACACAGTGGACTCTATGAATCAACTTCAGTAGCAGGCAGGCATTCTAAGATCCCCAAACCCCTAATGCCGAGACCATCAAGATCCTTGGACGAGCAAACCATTTCCCAGGCAAATAGACATTAGGAAGGTGCAGTCTCCAGACCAGAGAAAGGACTGTTGACTTTTATCCATTTGCATGACAACTTCAGAAGGCAACGGTAGTGAGCACATGACATATTCAAGTTGACACTCAAGTTGTATATGACCTTGATTGATAAACCTAGTTCCGCTAGAAGATTAAAAAGTCTGCTGCTCAATTGTTGCTTGTTTGGTGAATCGAGTAAGGCTGTAGTATGCATGCTATGTTAGGTTGGGCAAAGGAGCAAATTTTGCTGGCACCAGTAGACCACTCTGGCTTGTTCTTTCATTGTGGGACGGAGTGCAAATTCACGGTTGAGTTATCTTCTAATCATGAAATTTCACAAATCATGAGACGAACGCTATGCTGTTTAGCCTTGTCTTAGGTTTTTTCGTTTTCTGGTTGTGATCTGCCAACTTCAATTCAGACTTCAGACTACCTGGGTTTGCTGATACTTGAGAGTGCATAGAGTGGGAGTGAGAACTGCTAAAAAAATCTGCCTTTTTTTTTAATCCCCCCTAATTCCCTGCATTCTCCAATGACCATGTGGAACTGTTTATCTGGACAAGCGTCTGAGGGGATAAGAGTATCTAATTTCTAGAGCTGGTTAGTACTGCTGAAATTTTACTCGAAGCAGTTGATCACTTGATCCAATTGTTGCTGTACACTCGAGAGATGAGATTATGGAAATCTTTGCCCTGGCAATGCGGAGAATAATGCCCTTAATTTCGCCCTCATTTTGCAGATAATAATAGTACACGAAACACTGCTGCTGAAAATGGGCACCGCTGAAACCCCACTGCCTGCGGCCGTGCTGTCACTTGAAATCCCAGGCCGCCGCCGCAGCTCCTGCTACCGAATCGAAGCCGAAAAAAGAAGATATGCTGCGCGTGCCCTGATACAAAGAGGTTGAGAGATGAGTGCATCGTCGAGCATGGTGAATCTGCTTGCACCAAGTGGATCGAAGCTCACAAGCGAGGCCTCCGTGCTGAGGGGTTTAATGTCTGAATCTCTGAAGATGTTGCTGCGGCGAAGATTCATACAGCAGGTGGGATGGGACTCTTAGATTAGCTCCCGTGTTTTTGCATGCTGTTCCGATGATCAGCGAACCAATTACCTGTTTCCCCAGAGAATAAAATGAATGGCGAGTGTTCCCTAAAAGAATGGCGTGTCATGTTGAGGGATATGAGTTTACTTGTAATGTGTTAATGCTTGAGTCTTACGGCAGGGGAAAAAAGAATCACAATGTGCAAACTGTGTTGCGATGAAACAAATTTGACAGCGAGATCATTGAAATTTTTTTGCTAATCATAGCAATGCTCATGGGTTTCCATGGCATAACATAACCATTTGAGAGTGAGATGAGATCATTGAAATTTATTCACTAATCACTGCAATGTTCGTAGGTTTTCATGGGGGGAATTTCTTGTGTGCCATTAAAAAAAATCATAATGCCCTCTGAAAAAGTTCAGCGGTCTTCAGTGTCGCTGCAACAACTTTTTTGTGTCTTTCATGCAACTGACGCCGTCAAACTGCAGGTGTGAAAAGTCAAAAATACCCTTAAGTCTAAATATGTCATTAATTTTTTTTATATCTTAACGACTTCAAATGAAAAAACTCAAAACTAAAAAGTTGTAGATCTCGTCGAGATCTATAATTTTCATATAAAAATTATCTTCATTTAATTCTACAAAAAAAGATATGATTTTTCTAAGATATATTAATCATATCAAATCATATTTTTTTTGTAAAATTAAATGAAGATAATTTTTATATGAAAATTATAGATCTCGACGGGATCTACAACTTTCTAGTTTTGAGTTTTTTTTTCATTTGAAGTCGTTAAGATGTTAAAAAAAATTAATGACATATTTAGACTTAAGGGTATTTTTGATTTTTCACACCTGCAGTTTGACGACGTTAGAGCCTAAACTGACAGCAGTGGCATGGAGGGCACAAAAAAGTTTGAGCAGTGGCGCTGAAGACCGTCGAACTTTTCCAGGGACACACAGGACATTGCGATCTTTTTAATGGCACACAAGGAATTCTCCCGTTTTCATGGCATAACAACATACTAACCATCCTTAGGCTTTGTTTAGTTTCTCCCCTAAAGTTTACTTCCTATTCCATCGAATGTTTGACACATACATGAAGTATTAAATATAGACTAAAAAATAATTAATTGCACAGTTTGCGACTAATTTACGAGACGAATCTTTTAAGCCTAATTAGTCCATGATTTGACAATGTGGTGCTACTGTACCACATATGCTAATGACGGATTAATTAGGCTTAATAAATTCGTTTCGCGGATTACTGTCGGATTCTGTAATTTATTTTTTTATTAGTATCCGATCATCCCATACAACAGCCCAATGTGACATGCCACGTGACACCTCAAAACTTTACACCCTGAATTTAAACAAGGCCTTATTCTCTGCATCCTTTTTCCGGCACCAATCAATCACTCATCAACTAAGGGGGCGTTTGGTTTTTTAATCGCTCCTAAAATTCATGTCACATCGAATGTTTAGATAGTAATAAGGAGCATTAAATATAGATTAATTACAAAACCAATTACATAGATGGAGGCTAATTTGCGAGACGAATTTTTTAAGCCTAATTAATCTGACATTAGCACATGTTTACTGTAGCACCACGTTGTCAAATCATGGACTAATTAGACTTAAAAGATTCGTCTCGCAAATTAGTTGTAAGTTGTGCAATTAATTTCGTAATTAGTCTATATTTAATACTCCATACATGTGTCCAAACATTCGATGTGACAGAAATTTTAGCTCATGTAGAAACCAAACAGGCCCTAAGATTTCATGCAAGCTCAAGCTGAACATCGAGCACCCGTCAATCATTCCTGTAATTAGCCCCGTTCGGCTTACCCCATATTCGGTTTGTTTGATTTTTTTTTTAGCCGAAACAGATTTTTTTTTCCATACTAATTCAGCTAGAACAGTGTTCAGTCAGTTTCCGCTAAAATTCTGCCAGCCGAACCGGCCGATTGTATCACGAGCAGATCACTGTTGCATTATTGCAAATTTGCAATCCGCTCAGGCTGTTGAATGCATCCATCCATCTAGGAGCATGTATAGCATAGGCCTTCTATGTCACACCCAACTCATGAGCTATCACATAGCACAGTGTGATGTGATCCACAGAAATTGCTTGTGAAGAAACAAGTGCCGGACAGGATGTGATGCATGCCAAACTGAACTGAAAACCTCGGCATCGGAGGACAGGCATTAGGTGAGAGTTTCTGAATGGCCATGCAAAGAGTTTCTGAATAATACTCCCAAGACTGAACTCTGAACCTGATCCTGTCTGTCACTGTCAGCTGATCCTCGCCCGTGACGTGAGCAGGCGACGAGAAGAGCAGAGACTTCGTCAGCAGACGAGTCAGATCTACCTGCTCCTGCTCCAACGAGTAACCTGCATTCTTCCTCTCGTCCTCTGCCGGTGGATCCAAGCTAGAGATCTAATCCAAGCAGAGGTGGGCATTGCACTTCAGCAGCCAAGGAGCACGCACAGGAGGAAGCCAAGCAGAGCGAGGCGCCGTGTCGATCGACCAAGGAGATGGCGCCGGGATCGGAGTCACAGGCGGCGGCGACGACGGCGGACCCGTCGTGCCCGCCGTTCCCTCTCCTAGAGGAGGAGGACGGAGGCCACATCCACGAGCAGGAGCAGGAGGTGCCGCACGGTGGCGAGCTGGAGCTCCCGACCGTGGACCTGGAGGCTCCGGGGGAGGCGCTGGCGGCGGCGTGCCGGGGACTCGGCGTGTTCCGCCTCGCCAACCACGGCGTCCCCGCGGAGCTCTCCGCGCGCCTCTTCGCGACGGCGCGGGCCGCGCTTGCCGGGGCGCCGTTCAGCGACAAGCGCGCGCAACCGGGCTACTTCTGGGGCACGCCGGCGCTCTCGCTCCGCGTTCGGGACGTCAACTGGGTCGAGGGCTTCCACGTCGCCCTGGGGGTGGGCCACCAGCAGCCCGCACCGCTCGGGGACCTACTCGACCTCGCGGCGGAGTACGGCGCGCACATGGCGCGGGTGGCGCGGGCGCTCTTCGACGCGCTCGCCGCGCCGCTGGGCCTCGGCGCGGGCCAGGCGTCGACCTACCTCGCGGAGCGCGACGGGTTACTGCGGGTGTACCGCTACCCGCGATGCCCCGAGCCCGGGCGCCTCGGGATGGAGGCCCACACTGACAGCTCCGTGCTCTCCGTCATCAACCAGGACGCCGTCGGTGGCCTGCAGGTGCTCCACGACGGCGCGTGGCGCAACGTCGCGCCGGGAGCCGGCGAGACGGGCACGCTGCTGGTAAACCTTGGCGACATGGCACGGGCCATCAGCGGCGATGCGTACTGCAGCGTGCGCCACCGGGTGGCGGCGAGCCAGGCGGCGGAGAGGCTCTCGCTCTGCTACTTCGCGTTCCCGCGGGACGACGCCGTCATCAGCTGCGCTAGCGGCCGGTACAGGCCCTTCACCTACGCCGAGTTCCGGGAGCAGGTGCAAGCTGATATTAAGGCCACTGGATCCAAGGTCGGCCTCGAGCGCTTTCTTCTTCGCCACTAATTATCATTCCATCGAGACGAAGCCAGGAGAAACCTTGGATCTTATTCCTCCCAAGATGATGATGAACAAGGGTGCATGGTATTACTTGTTCGTTCATAGTTGGAAATACCTTCGATTAGGTTTGACTTTTACTTAGTACTTCGGGCTACTATCTTATCTTGGGGGATTTGGAACTTGTACAGCCACATTACTATATATCTTATCTATATGCTTCTGAAGCCAGCCTAGATGCTTGCAGTACTTGTGCTGTTGTGCAATCGTTAAAGCTATCTATCTATGTGCTCACTGCTCAACATCATTAGGGAGCTCAACTTTGGGTCTCCACCAGTCATGCCATACTGCAGGTCTGCAGCGACACTTGCTCAACAGATGACCAAATCATTCCCGATTTGACGTGCCAACAGACTTAAAAAAAAGGGCGAGCTCCCGCTCTGTGCGAGGTCTGGGGAAGGGTGTCAGTGGCAAGCCTTACCCTCACCTGTGCAATACGAGGAGACCGCGACTCGAACCCGGGACCTTCCGGTCACAGGCGGTAAGACTCTACCGTTTGCACCAGACTCTCCCGATTTGACGTGCCAACAGACTCTTGAGTTTTTTTCTGCAAACGGAACATCATATCATAGCTGTTCTGCTTGTCATTTGGTTTATCTTTACTGCATCTGGATTGTATTTCTCGTGGTTGAAGAACAATGAACACCCTAATGTTGAGCACTGAACAGCAGCGATACAATTCTGATGGTTTGCCAGGTCCTGGATGCTCATTTGCGTCGTATGGAGCATCAGAAGAGATCGGTCTGTTCTGGTTCAAACCGAACGTGACAGGGATGTTTCTGAACAAGTACTCATAACAGAGGTAAGGAGTAAGGAGTTTGGCTGATGGCTTTTGCGGCTGATAAGCCGGCTGATGCTGTTGTGTTGTACCATGGCTGATACGCAGCTCAAGCGAACAGGGTGACACTTTCTTAACATCAAGTGATCTACTGTCTGCCACTGATCAGAAGAACTGGAATACCCATTGTTGCAGAGGCAAACCTTCTCTTCCTTGAATTGCCTTCAGGACTCGCCTGCTGCAGTCGGCTTCTCCTACAGTCCTACACAAACACCACCTCGGATCCCAAGACATCGGGCAATGGGAGAGGACTGGTAATCCTGGGCCATTTAGTAGCTGTCAAATTTTGATGACTGAATCTTCAAACTACAACATCACTAGCAGTTATCAAGTAAGCCTCACATGATGGCCATTGTGAAATGTGAATTGGCTGCAGCTGAAGTTGCACTGCAGTTCTTGATCAGCTGGACCACAGTGTTGGCACCAAGATCTCTACATAGCTGGAGAAAGTTAAACCGGTAAGTCTTTCACTGTCATTGCTGATCCACAGGAACACATATTCCAGTGTTCTTCACTTCGATTGATGCATCCAAGAAGTTTTCAGTGAGCATAACACTATGTGACTTGACAAAGCTGCAGTGGTGATACAGATTCAATCGTCCCAGTAACCTCGACAAGGTTTGTGATCAGCCATCTTGGTCAGAAGATCATGATCGGCTGGTATCCATGGTACTCAGCTTGACAGGTACTGAACTTGCCATTGCTGTTTAAGCAATCTTCCTGTTGTTACCGTAATTTCTATGAGTTTGAGGTGCATCTTGTGCATGCACTGGTAGGAGGATGGTTATGGAGTGCATTGGATTGAAGCTGAATTTTCTGCCAGTCTGAATCGTAGGACCATGCTGGGGTTGTATGAGGACAGCAGAAACAAGTCTGAATCAAAAAAAGGTGCACCTGAAACAGGCTGATATTATTGTACTGGGTTCTGGTACGGAGGTGGATCAGAAACTTCAGTATGCTAATGATCTTTCGTTGGGTATGAAATTCGGATGAGAGCTTGTGAACTCTCCTGCAAATGTCCTTACACCTGCTCAGCAGATCTTTCATCAAACTTGGTTGTTCTTCATAGATTTATTGTCAGTATACTTGCAGCCATCCTTTTGTCCCTTTCTGTTGTGCTTGCGGAGGAGGTGTCGAAGATTGCTTCTACATACAGTGATGATTTAGAGTTGCAGTGGATTGGTTATGCACTTTTTTATTTGGATTTGCTTTATTAAGCTCTGAAGATGGTTTGTCATCTTTTGGAAGGCTATAAAAGTAGGCCACATGTAGCTAGTGTTGGTTAGTTGACTCATCAGTGATTATCAATTGCAGATTATTGTTTGGTGAATCGAGTAAGGTGGTGGTATTGTGGTATGCATGCTATTTTAGGTTGAGCAAAGGAGCAAATTTTGCAGACCAGTTCTCCACTCTGGTTTGGTTTGTTATTTCATTGTTCGGCGGAGTACAAATTCACTGTTGAGTTATGTTCTAATCATGAAATTTCACAAAACATGAAACTAATGCTACGCTGTTTAGCCTCGTCTTAGGTTTTTTGTTTTCTGGTTGTGATCTGCCAACTTCAGTTCAGACTTCAGGCTACCTGGGTTTGGTGATACTTCTTAGTGCATAGGGTGGGAGTGAGAACTGCTAAAAGATCTGCCTTTTTTAATTCCCATAATCCTCCCTAATTACCTTCATTCTCCAATGACCATGGGGGGGCTGTTTATCTGAACAAGCGTGTCAGGGGATAAGAGTATCTAATTCTCGAGAACTGGTTAATAGTGCTGAAATTTACTCGAAGCAGTTGGTCCAATTGTTGCTGCACACTCCAGAGATGAGATGATGTCCTTTTGCCCTCATTTTGCAGATAATAGTAGTACCCGAAACACTGCTGCTGAAAATGGGCAGCAAAGATCATTGAAACACATTTGATTTGAGAGTGAGATCATTGAAGTTTATTCAGTAATCATTGCAATGCTCATGGGTTTCCATGGTATAACATAACATAAGCATTTGAGAGTGAGATCACTGAAATTTATTCTCTAATCATAGCAATGCTCATGGGTTTCCATGGCATAGCATAACCATCCTTATTCTCTACATCCTTTTTCCAACACCAATCAATCACTCCTCGGCTATGAACTGCACGCCTATCAACAAGTTATTTTCTACTTGTGAACGCTACGCTCCCGGCATCACCTTCTCATCCATCTTTTACATTTTCTTCAGACTGTAGCTAGACATCATCAGGTAAACACATTCAAGACTTGGGCAATGGCTCCCCGGCTAAGAACGACCGGAACATCCTGAATGCCCTGCTGGGCTGAAACAATGGCACCTCATGCCCTGCACCTCTCACTGACGCAAATGTGAGCCCTTCATACACCTCAGACCATCCTCCTACCTGCGCATACACAAGACAAGATGCACCTCAAACTCAAACACATTACAGCAACAACATCAAGATTGCTTAAACAGCAATTTCAAGTTCAGTACCTGTCCAGCTGAGTACCATGGATACCAGCGGGTCTTGATCTTCAGACCAAGATGACTGATCGCAAACCTTGTCGCGGTCACCGGGACGACTGAATCTGTATCACCGCTGCAGTTTCATCAAGTCACATAGTGTTATGCTCACTGAAAACTTCTCGGATGCATCAATCAAGTATAATTTGCCCATTTCAGATTCAGAGATTCTTCAGCTTACCTGAACACCCATATCCTCAGTCCTGCTTTCATCAGCTTCTTGTACGTCGGCAGCATGGAGAACTCTGAATCTTGCCATGTCTTGATCAGCACATCACTGTCAGTGTCATTAGGAGATAACAAAAAACACATTCAGTGCCACTCTTAAATGGCTGAACAAATCATAACAAGAAACGAAAACAAGATACGGAACCTGCAGGCAGTCCATCTGTAGGGGATCCCCGTGGTGTTTGCGTGCATTGCCTTCTGCACGTCCAGCCTGTTGTAGTACTTCTCGGCGTAGGTCTCCGTGCAGGGATCGTAGCCGAAGGACCGCCGGCGGATGAGGGTGTTCTTGAACCTCAGTACGGTGGCGTTGGACCTGGCTGCCACGCACGACGGTGTGTAGATGCTGTACTGGTCAATGTCCCCAAACTCCTGGTTCATGGCGTAGTTCATGGCGCGGTTGCAGAAGCGCGAGATGTTGCTGCTGCTGAAGTTGCACGACTTGAGGATGGCCTTGTAGGTGCGGTCAGAGATCATGGCGTGCGTCCACCAGTAGGTGACCGTGCCGATGTTGTCGTAGTAGTTGTCAGTGACCGCGTTGCCCACCTGATCGAGTGAGTACCGAAAATGTTGCAAGGTAAATTCACTCACATTTGGAGCCGCTGAACTATACTGTAGCAGTTTTTTTTTTAAAAAAAAACTTAGATTACACTAGAGCCTGCTCATGTTTGAAGATACTCACAAGGATCCCCTTCAGGTTGATGAAGGGGTTAGGCGAAGCCTCGTTGTACTCAACAATCTTCCTTGCCAATTGTGGAACGTAGTGGCCTGGAATCAAGTGCGGAAATAAGAACAAATTGCAGCAGTAAAACTTTTAGACTGCTAGTATTTTCTTCTAGTGCGTTAAAAATCAGAACACTGGATGCATTATGAATATGTTCCCTGTGGATCAGCAATGACATTGAGAGACTTACCGGCGTAGCTTTCTCCAGCTATGTAGAAATCTCGGTGCCGATACTGTGGGAACCGTGACATCCAGGTGATCAAGAACTGCAGCGCATCTTGAGCTGCAGCCAATTCACATTTCACAGTTGACATCAATTGAGACTACTTGACAACTGCTACTGAATTAGTGATCCAGTCATCAAAATTTGACAGCTACTAAAAGGCCCAGCGACGGATTATTACCAGTCCTCTCATCGCCCGTTGTCTTGAGATCCGAAGTGGTGTTCGTGTAGGAGAAGCCGACTCCTGCAGGCGATTCGAGGAAGAGAAGGTTTGCCTCTGCAACAATGGATATCATATTCCCAATCTTCCCATGAGTGACCGATAATACAGAAGTTGATGTTAAGAATGTTCATATTTTCCCCATCAGTGACCTTACCTCTGTTCCAAGAGTACTTGTTCAGAAACAGCCCTGTCCCGTTTGGTTTGATCCGGAACGGGCCGATCTCTTCCGATGCTCCATACGCCACCGATGAGCATCCAGGACCTGGCAAATAAACCATCAGAATTGCATGACCACTGCTGTTCGTTGCTCGACATTACGTTGTTCGCTGTTCTTCAGCCACGAGAAATACAATAAACAGAAACTTAATGGCAGACAGAACATCTACGATATGACATTCCATTTCGTTCTCGTTCTCGCAGACAAGAATTCAAGAGTCTGTTGGCACGTCAAATCGGGAATATTTTGGTCATCTCATCTGTTCAGCATGCATGTCTCGCTGCAGCATGGCATGACTGGCGGCCGAGACCCAAAGTTGCGCTCCCTAATGATGCTGAGCAGATAGATAGAGATAGCTCTAACGATTGCACTAGCACTAGCAGGCATCTAGGCTGTCTTACAAATCCCCCAATATATGACAGTCGCAGCACTAAGGAAAAAGCGAGAGAAGTTGGACGGTCCAGGTCGCATTCGGCTCAGAGGCGTGCACCGGCCGTTCAGCGCTCTGCAATCACCGCAGCCCAGGCGCATCGCATGGCATGCATTTCCCAAGGCACGGCAGGCACCAAGTCAAAGAGACCAAGCCATAGCCGTCCGTTCGATGGTGGCAAGGCAGCTGTGGAACCCAGGGAGACGAGATCCATGGTGCGCCTGCACTGCAGCCCGTGGCTGTGCGCCTGCCAGTGCGTGTCGCGCGGGCATGGCCCTGGCCCTCCCTCCCTCGCGCCATACCATTGCGGTGTACTGTAAGCACGGTACGTGCTTTCACGTTTCCTTTTATGTGCTAGGAGACCCAGTGTCAGGTAAAAGGCCACAGTCCCTACGATCCCTGCATGTGTGCAGTACAGCCACGCACCACGAAGGGTACACACACGCACACACAGTGACACAGAGAGCAAGCTGGTGTGCCTGTGCGTTGCCATGTCAAGTTGCCAGTGCCGATGCCACACTCCACAGCCACAGGCAGAGGCATGCCCTGTGGTTGTGGGAATGTGGGGCAAGGGCACTTGGTGGTTTTTAGCCCGTGGCCTTTTTTACCGGGCGGGAGCGTCGGCGATGATGACAGGAGGCGAAGTAGAGGGAATAAGAATAATCGTCTGGGGGCTGGGGGCTGGGCGACGGCGACTCCAGCACCAGCAGCGGCCAGCGGGAGATTACACGATGAAAACAAACAGCCAAAGGTGGTACATCCCGCCCTGCACGCAGCTTTTGCCTTTTGGGCCAGCCAGCCAGCCAGCCATCTCCTCCCATGATCCCCCATCTCCCATCTGCCTGCGCTGCGGCGGCGTTGGGCACCACGCACGCAGACGCAGACGCAGGCAGTCACGCAGGCGCAGCTTCATCATTTCGTTTCCGCAGTCTCGGGCCCCTTGCTGCTGGCAGGCGGCTGGCTCGCCGTCACATGACCTGAGGGCTGGCCGGCTGGGGACCTGGAGCTTGGCTGAGTCACCGGGTCACGGTCACGGCCACGGCCACGGCCACCACGGACGCATCACGCATGCAGGAGTAGTACTGCACACACCTGTGGCTAAGATTGCGTCGATCTCAAAGGACGCTGCCTGCTGGTTTGCGGCCTTCAGGTTCAGTCATTCACATTCAGAGTGACTGAAGAGTCGTCTCTGAATCTGGGAGGGAGCGAGCGAGCGATGAGTGCTGCATCATCGCGACGTGGAATCCGGAGAATTTTTCCCGATACTACTGTTGATATCATGGCTGCTGCTGCTGCTGCTGCTGCTGCTGGGTGATGCGGACGACAACGCTGCTGCCTACACAGTCACGCAGGTACGTGCAGGTGCAGGTGCAGGTGCAGCAGTGGTGAGAGAAAGAGTTTTACACAAATGGTCGGTCAGATCGACTGGGATCCAAGAAACCCCTGGTTGGAGCTTAGCAATTGGTAGAAGAGAGTCTGAACACTGAATAATCACCGTTTGACGACGATGGCGATGGAAGAATGATGGCCTGAGCATATGCAAACGCAGTGTCGGTACCACATGAAGAAGGACACGAGATCGAACGAAGAGGTTGGGAAAGTTGGGGGAAGAGAGTTTAATGCCAAGAGTCCAAAAGCTGGGATAACACTTCGTCAGCGAGATCAAGGGGACGTGCATGCAGCATGCAGAAATGCATGCGTGCCCTTGTTCGCAGCTAGCAGCCGGAGTCAACTGCAAATATCTGGATACCACTAAGGAAGTAGAGTACATTTGCAGATCATTAACAGACATAACTGAACTGGATCGACCTTCTGTTGGAGCTTATTAGTGGCAAGACACGAGAATGGGACAGAATTATAGTCGAGTACTTCCTCCGTCCAAAAAAAAAAAAGCAATTCTAGGATGATGAGTAGTCAAACAGTATAAACTTTAACTAAATTTATATTAAAAAAAGTACAAATATTTTTTTATACAAAATAAGTATCATTAAATTAATTATAAAATATATTTTCATAATAAAATTATTTAGAAAAATAAATGTTAATACTGTTTATTATAAACTCATTTAAACTTGAGCTCAATTGATCGACACGGATAACATAATTACATTCGTGCCAACAATGCCATCTAGCCCATCCGGCCATCCCATAGCAATACTCCTAGCATGCATGGTTAATTAAGAGGACTCGACTTGGATATAGGAGTAGAGTAGTGTCACATGCATGCGTCTGGACAACCTGGTACAGCAGCAAGCAAACACTGCAGAAGCGACACCATTGCGAGTGCTGCTGCTGCTGCTGCTGTCTGGTGATAAATATGATAAAGCTCGACAGTCCTTTTGGCATAGGAGCTACTAATGCAGACAGTGTGTACTTAGGTTTGTCAGTTAATTAATTACTACAGTAGTACTGTGTAGGAGTAGTTTATTACTGCTGACATTACCATACATGAAGTTTCCTGGTCCTAATCATGGTTTTATTGTCCCCTTCTACCTCTACCTAGGAGTATCACACTAGATAATAATGAGTACAGCAGCTAGGCTGTTCTGTTTCATTCCAAGAGGCCAAACAAAAAGGGCAAAACACTGCCTGCACGTACTAGTAATGTTTGTTCAGGGTCTCAGCCTTCACAGGCAGGCAATGGTCACGTCCCTTCGCACATTTACTACCGCCATTTACTACTACTGCGTTGCAGTACTGTACATTTACCATCACATGCAATTCACACACATTCGACATGCAAATCCTTTTTTACAGTATGTATTTGTTGTTGTTGGTTTTTGCTTGAGTATTTACATCGAATTAGACGACGGCGTTCATATTCACAATCACACCAGAGGAGGAGGAGGTTGGAGTTGGAGTAGCACACAAGAAGAAGAAGGAACAGAATGGCACTTTCCGTTGGCAAGAGGCAAGGCGTGTGATGAGATGACAGGGAGTTTGAACTTTGGAGTCTGTGTCCAAAGCTTTGGAAAGCTTTGCCTTGCCTGTGACTGCGATACCCTTTTTAAATTAGTCCAAAAACTCAGCAAAGGTAGAGCTCCCTTCCCTCCCATGAAAAGACTCGTGGCAGTTTAACCGACGCCTGGTCAACAGTCAACCCGACTGAGGACAGTAAGGAGGAGTATGTATATGATGATAAGATCATACCATGCACACAGCATCATTATTCACCAGGGAAAACCAACAAGAAACGAGCTACTACCATGATTGCATGAAAAAGAAGCTAAGATCACTGCAGCAAGAGACGAAATAAAAACATGCATGGCCAGCTCAAAGGAGCATGGCGAAATGGGAAGCTATAGCCTACAGCTAGCGAGGCGCAGAAGATGGCCACTGACCTCCGTTGAGCCAGAGCACGAGGGGCTTGGTGGCCGCGTCGCCGACGGCCTCGGTGAGCCAGTAGAAGAGCGCGCGGCCGCGGCCCCGGTTCACCGTCACGTACCCGGAGTACTGCGCGAACGCCACCGCCGGCTGCCCCGGCAGCGCCTCGACGCGGTCGCCCCCGCGCGCCCTGCTGCTGTCCTCGCACTCCTCCACGCCGGCGCCCGCGGCGGCAACTGCACCAGCACAGACGCCTCCAGGCAGCAGCACGCCGGCGACGACGATCGCCGCCAGCACACCGCTCGCCGCCTCACCCCCACGCCGCCGCGTCGTCGTCGCCATTGCGCGCGCGGAGGACGAGCTAGGATTGAAGAAGCAAGATGGGTGTGTGGGCAAAGGTAACTATAGCTCTGGAACTATGCAAGGAAGTAGGTGAAGCGCGTGACAATATACACGAGCTGCTGCTGCGTATTTATCCTAGCCGGCTGACCGGCCGGTCGCCTGGAAGGTGGAGGCCGCTGGCTCGGCTTGCTAGTGGCGGTAGTGGCTAGCAGTGGGGTGGTCGTCGCGGTAATAATGGGGCATTGGATCGGGCGAGGAGGTGGTGGTGCGCGAGGAGGGGCATTTACGCTGGCTGGCTCGGTCGCTCTGCGGCCCGCGCGCGGAGGAGGGCGGGAGGGAAGGAGGGGGCAGGTGAGCTACGCTACGCCGCCATTAATAGTGCTCCGGCCTTGGCAGGTCAGCTCGGCGCGTGCAGTCGGCAGAGAAGGAGAGAGAGAGAGAGAGGATGAGGAGATGGAGGAGACCGGCCGCCTGCCTGCCTCCTCCTGCTGCTGCTGCTGCGCTGGGGGCGGGCCGTAGGGATGAGATGACCAAGGCCATAAATGGCTCGCAGCGCAGCGCTCCCCATTCCCCTTGTGGCTGCTGCTACACACATTCGGTTTCCCTCGTCCTCACGCCACCCGCATCGCATCTCATAGGAGTCGCGCGTTTGTTGGGTTCGGTCAAAACAAAAGCTGCACAAATGTCAAAGGGCATCTGCCTCTCTAGCTCTACACGTCCGTCCGTCTCGCTGGCCGGCCTGCCCGCTCCGATCCATCGCTAATGCAAATGCACGCCTCACCTCGCCGTGGAAGCTTCAAACGCCGCATGATCTGATCTGCTTGGTATTTGCGCCATCGGCTTGGAGCCGTGCCAATGCAGATTACTGTATATCGGACGCCGTTTGTGGAAAGCGTGCAGTGCTATCACTTGCACGGTTGCACCCAAAAGGGAAGCGTCTGCTGGTCGCCAGTCGTCACTGAGCAGGAGAGCAAGCATGAACATGCATGCATGCACACAGCAAGGTCGCGTCGAAATGAACCTAACTTTTCCCTTTGGGGCTGTGTTGGCACCGCATGCCACCACCTCTTCGGGATACATACAAATATTACTCCATGCATATAGATTTATCCTACTAGTAACACTTTAGTCGTTTTTTTACTCCGACTAGTATTTCTTCCATTCGATTGTAAGTCGTTTTAGTTTTTCTTTATGTAACTTTTACTATGCACTTACATATACGTTATATCTAAATACATATGCTTTCCGTCCAAAAATAATTGTATATCTCACTTTTTTAGGGACTAAAGGTTTTAAAAGTTGACTATATATAAAACAAAAGGTACTAATATTTATAATATGTATTAATGGTGTGACTTATTTCCATGACTCATTTGAGGATACAAATGTTGATATTATTCTCCATAAACTTAGTCAAATTTAGAAAATTTTGACTCGAGAGGAATGTGATGTGCGGTTATTCTGGAACGGAGAGAGAGTAGTAATATGTAAAATTGTATCTAGATTAACCTTATTAACAAATTCATATGGAAAAGTCTTGGCAATATATATGTTTTTTTTATTTATAAGATATAATGCATATGTTTTTATAGGTACAAGTCCTAGTCAATGTTAAGAAAGTCTAACTTATTAGGATAAACAACCTAGATGGTCTAGACTTTGTACTACTCGTGATGACCAGATCGATCAGGAATAGTACTATTTGTTGCTGAGTACAGCTAGGTAGGTAGGTAAAAGTGGATGGCAGTGGTACGCCGCAAGCAACGGTTTTTTTTACAACAACCGCAAGCAACGTTGACAAGGCGAGGAAGCGTGAGATGAGACGGATCATGGTTCGCCTGGCCTTGCCTTGGTAAGGAGCATGAATGAGTAGTAGACGATGGCTGGAGTCAAGACGCAGCTACCTACCCTACCTTGACGCGCGTACGTAGCCTGCTGCCCGCAATTGGCTACCTATACTGTACCAATCTAGGCTATATATACATTATTAGTAATCTCTCTCTCTCCCTCCCTCTCTCTCTCATTCATTATTTGTAATCTTTCTCTCTCCTCTCTGATCGATGATATATAGAGATAGAGACACGCACACGCTAGCTGTACAGGCCGTTCAAAAACATTGTATGTAGCTAGGGCCCTAACTGTATGTATGTATGTATACATACGTGTGCAGATGGTCACTGCATGCGATGGATCGATGGAGCCCATACCTACCGTGCATGACAATGACATGGTGTGTCTCGATCAGATATGAATATGATCCTGTCGACGTACTGTCGTCACGCTCAATCAAGCAAACGTATAGCCTGCTGGCCGCGCGCGCTCATGCATGCAGATGCAGGAGATCGAATTTCTTGGAACATACTAGTATGAATTTTAGGACACCTCACATGCAGGATACAGCTGTATACAATTGCTGATTGCTGATGGCTACGTGTAGCAACGACGACAGCTCCATGCATGCCATCGATTAGGAATCTTCCAATCCTTCTTTCACCCCCGGGAAAATTCGATTTATTTCACCGTACGTACGTACGTACCCACGCATGCATGAACGCAGGTATTTACTGTTTTACAGTATTCGCTACAACTGACGCATGAATGCAACAACTAGCGATCGATTTATCACACGTCGCCGTCGCGGCCGCGGCTAGCTCTGCCCTCCGACGCGGGCAATTTGACCCGATTAAAAAAACAGGCCATCAGGATCCAGTAATTTCTTCCCTGTACTTTACTCTAAGCACGGCCCGGATCCCCCTTGTCAGTTCTCTCTCCACCTCGGCGTGCAGCGGCATCGGGCTGTGGTGTCCCCAAGCGAGGGGCAGACGAGAGAACGATGCCGCCGACACCCGTCGCGTCCCTTCATTTCTGAGTGGATTTACCTGTCCTTATTGGTAATCTCCTTCAGCTGCTGCTGTGTCTGTGTTATGGGCTCGTGACGAAGCTATAGATCATTACTAAAATCAGGGAACTACTAGTAGAATACTACTAGGATGGTGTGTCATTATCTCTCAGCATGTTCGCTTGCTCGTAAACGATCGTAAATTTCTAGCTGAGAATAGTGTTTTTCTCTCACACCAAACTAGCCAGCAGTAAATAATCCACGATACGATACGGTGTCCCGAAGGCTGTCTGTCATTAACGGCTTAACAGTTTCCTGCGTGGAAGTACTCGCTCACTCACCTGCTACCTGACCTGACCTGCGGCAGTCTAGCTTGTCGGGGCGCCATCGCTGCTGCTGCTGCAAGGTTAATAACAGAGCCAGCTGCTGGCTATCACGAATCCTTACAGTCTATTTCTCAGTTCATTCATATAATAATTATATCTTTATTATTAATATATAGCTCACTTATCTCTCTCATAGAGTGTCTTGGTTCTTATGTTCAAACCGGTTGTAAGCTTACAGCCCGTTTCTCCTCTCTCTCCTTCTATCTCTCTTCCATTTCAGTATTCAACCTGCTTGTAGCCCTTATTATACTAGCTCTAATGGCGCTGCCTAGGCTAGAGTAGTCTACACGGCCCGTGCAAGATGCCCTGCACTCCACTGCAGGAGTTTGAGTAGGAGTACGTACGTACTCCGTACTCGCTTATTATCGCTTTATTTGGACCATTCGCAACAAGGCAAACGCAAGACATGTATGTATCATCACCTGAGTAATAACCTCAACACATAGCTAGATCGAGTACCTCCCCTTGGTAATAATTTTTTTTTCTTGGGGTCGGTCTCGCTCACTCTCACCTCACAGTCGTCAAACAGGCTCTCCACAAATGACAAACCACGCGCTCTCACCACACACAGTAGTACTGTGTCTGTGTGCCGGCCCCGGCCAGCCAGGAACAGAGACACCTATATATATGCTTTGTTTTGTTCTCCGAACAATGCCATGGCACTGCTGTGTGCGTGCCTGTCCCAGTGTCACTGTTTGTGTAAAGAGGGCATCTCAGATCTACGTACACCAAAATGCATGTCGTCTTCCCCATGCTCATGGTGGCCTTATATATATTACCCGACGACGACACGGAAAAAGGCCCTAGGGATACCTGCGATGTCGGACAGGCACATGTTCACCCGGGGGTGTACGGCGTGCCAAGCTACAGAACAAAATACAATATAACTACAGCTACTTATCTACACTAGGTTAATACCAGACCAGTGGTTTTACACTTGTACACGAGACAAACAATCCAGGCTAATACCAGTGGATAGATGGAGCCCTGATGCACAACAACAACAACAACAACAACAAAGCTTTGCATCGCAGTGTGTCTGTGTGTGTGTGCAATACAACGCGCCGTATGCTACGGCGGCAGTGGATAGGGCGGCCTGCTAGCTGCTTCGAGGGTTGCACTGGCATTGCAGGGGCAGCAGCACTCCAATGCATGCGAGCTCTCTGAATTCAAGTAGCCGTTGCATGGAATTGATGGTTTGTGATGGAGGCCGACCTGTGTGTGACGAGGATAGCAAAGGACTACTAATAGCTAGGGCCCTGCAGTGCAGATGAATGCAGATGTCCTGCGATGTGCGATGAGTAAAGGGCCTTCCATTTCGAGCAGTACTCGTGCATAGCGGCTAGGTGGACGACGTACTGGTGGTGTCCGCCGAGGCGCCGATGTTTTGGCGCAAGAATGCAATGCCGTTTTTCTCGTGACGTTTCACTGTATCGCTGCTAGCTATTGCCTATGGCTTGGCTGCATGCAATGGCTGTAGCTTGATCGATCTTTTCGTTGTTTCGGGCCCACCTGTCAACGGCCTGGTTGTCACCGCCGCACTGACATCATATCAGAATGCAGACCGGCTGGCTCTGGCTGTAGTACGTGCCCCCGCACAGTGCAATAGGAGTACACTGTACGGCGGACGGCAGCTTGGGTCGTACTGTAGCATAATGCATGTCTGACATTCATGCATACTACAGTACACATGGTCGGTCGTGAAATATATGCAGCTAGCCAACTAGGCTACGACTAGTGGCACTGCTGTGTTCTGTTCACGTCGGTCCCAGCTC